GACAGACAGACAGACAGATAGATAGATAGATGTGAAGGTTTGTGACTTTTAAAATGCGGGGTCCCCCAGAAAGAAAGTTTGGGAAACACTGGTCTAAGAAATCTGCTGCAAGACCTTCAGAGTCAGTGTTGGAGCAACTGTTGCCTGTAACAACGAGCAACAACATTGTTGCTTTAACCAATTAAATTGAGAGTGTTTTGCAACACTTCTCAGTTCTTTGATTAAATGGCAAAAAGGACACACAGTCTCTGAACTAGCGAACTGCATCTAGAGCAAATCCATACATTCCACCACAATCTGAATCACACATGAAACATGTTCTTGCAGCCGTTGTTAATCTTTAAAACTGGAAACCAACTCGGAGAGAGGGACAAGAGAACGCGAGAGATGTGGCTGTTTTCAACCTTATAAAAGGGTAAATAAACTCTTTTGCATATAATTGGGAGAGGCTGGGGCGGCAGAACAATAAAAGCGGAGGCTATAATGAGACTCACATAACGTCTTTTTTTATCCTGTTGTCATGCTATTGAACCAGGCCACACAAAAAAAACAAAAACCAACAAAAAAACACTCCCACAGCGAATCTTCACGCTAATCAGACACCCATGTCATGTAACTCTTTAGAGTCATTTTTTAAAATCACAGAATCGTCTTCTGTGATAATTACTGCCGTCTACGTCTACGTCTCATACATTATCTTGTTTAACCCAACCCCAAGAAGAAAAACATTGATATTTTTACTCCTTCGGCAGTTCACCCTGTAGCCCCCTTTTTTTTTTCTCCCCCTCGCCCCCTCTGTGTGTGTGCTTGATTACAGGAGTGGAGTCAGGAGTGCACAGCTGCCACTAATCACTACCACAGTATAAAGTCTGGTCTCTCCAGCAACTCCCTTCCCCGGGTTGTAGACTGTGTTGAAAATCCGACCGGCTACTTTGATACATTCGCTTTTACTCTACCAGACTTGACTTCTGTCCCCATCTCCATCTCCCGTTTCTGCTCCCGGCTTCTACCCGTCCCTACCATGAAACAGTTAACGTCTCAATTTTGGGTCTGCACAGTGAGTTCACTTTCCAACCGACACAGACTCGGACTTAGTATGTCGGAGCCATTTCCGGCCGAGGAGTGCTCCTCGTTCAACGCGACGACATTCTCCGTGCTCTGATTTTAAAAGTAACCAGATAATGCTTGATAATTGAATGTCTGCACTCCGTAACAAAGAGGCTTCTCTCACCTTCCGACTCCACCAGTCCTTCCCTGTACTCTGAGAGCACAGCCTATTTCTTTTTCCCTTTTTCTCTACAGATAAATAAATAAATATTACCAGGTGCTCAATGGTATTTCAGGTCGAGAAGTGAAAAGAAAAACCTCTGTCCCCTAGGGGGGGCCATGGCTACTGTAGCAGACGGCACTTAACTTCCTTAACCACTAGGCCACCACTGCCCCGCTATGTCGGTATCGGTTGGTATCGGAATCGGAAAATGAAATGTTTGGACGATATCAACATATATCAGATATCGGCAAAAAGTTCGTATCGGACATCCCTACATTTAATGGATCATTTAGATGTTATCGACATTTGATGCCCACGTCGTATTCACCCTCTCACTATTTCTTCTTCATTTTTTCAGCAATCCCAATTAAAAAAAA